CGCCGGGTGCCCCCGCCAGCCCCTGTTGGGTTACTGGGGCGGCTTGAGCCGCAGTCCGTGATGCCGTGCTCGCACGCAGCGAGCCGTACGGACCGGCCCGGAGATGAGCCCTGTGATGCAGTTCTGTTGTGTAACACCGAAGCTCTAAACCTTCTTGCTGCTTCTTGTCGTTGTTTAAAATTACTTTACGAATAAGCGTATAGGGGCTCGGATTTTTATTTCTTTATTTATTGCTCGCTGGTTTGTTTTGAGGGCTTGGGGTTTTTTTTTGTCTTGAACATAAAAGCCTGCATTGGCCCTGATTCTGCAAGCATTTAAGCACCTAAACATCAGTGGGTGTATAACAAGTGATGCTAAAATCGTAACTTGATTTTTCTGTTGCCTCTCTCTTCTGACTCAGTTAAGATTGGTACCGAGAGTTAATTACAGTAGAATTTTTGCAAGGTGGCTCTGTAGAGTATATATACACACCAACACGGGTGATTGACCTTGATGTCTTGAAGCAACTCAAGATGTAGGAGCTGCCCCTCCCTGTCTGTATCTGGTTTGTCAACCACTGGGAAAAAACTGCTGTGTGGCAGAGAGCAGTGGATCCTGGGCTGACTCCTTTTAAAGAAAGAGGCGAGAGAAGAAGGTTTAGAGCAGAGGAAAGGGGACCTGAGAGGTAGCCCTTCAAGAACTAAAGAGATAAGTTTCACCTGCCTGCCAGGAAGTTTAGCATAGCTCCTGTAGTGAGCCTAAAACCATCCAGCATCAAGCAGAGTTCAGTTACAATGCTATGTCGGGGGGCTAGAGGGGGTGTGAAGTTGTCTGTAAGTGTCACTGCAGACTAGGCTTTGCTGGCTAGGGCTACAGAATGCATGTTGATGAACTTAAGTTGCAAACTAAAATTCGGAACCAGTTTTGTAACTCAAAGTTAAATGCGGAAGGACGTGAATTAAGTCAAAGTATTAGATATGGTGTGAATGAAACTAAACTTTTTAAAAAATCTCTTATGAAAAACTAATAATGCTGAGTACAGTTACCCAGCTTTTAAGTATTTACTTAACTTGCAAACATAATTAAAACTTTCAATCTCTTCAGGAATCCTTATGAAGAAAAATATAGATTAATTCGGATTGGCAATCCAGCATTTTCCACAGGACTGTTGCCTGTCAGAGGAGCAGTTGAATGTTTATTTGAGATGGGGTTTCAAGGGGTGAGTATAATTTAGTCATTTCTTATGTCTTCATCAGTTTACACACTAAAATCTAAAATTGGATTTTTTTTCTCCTTTTCTGGTTGCAATGCACTAAATTTTAATCCAACTGTTGTTTTCTTAGTTTTCTTTCAATCCTTGTTTGCAAATATTTGCAGTTAACCAACAGAAAATTCAGATGAGGCTACTTCAGAAATCAGGTGGAGCTAGAGCTAAGCTGATCTGTGATAAGACTGGTTTTCTGCTGTTCAGGCGCACTACTAGTTCACTTAATGGTCAGATACATATCCATTCCAGCACAAAGGAAGTAGGGTGAAAACCCCTTCTCTCAGCAGCAGCTCAGTATTAAGTGGACATCAGACTGCATCATCAGACAGTACTACTGTTTCCGTATTGTAAATCTGTGCATTGAAACAGTCATTTGGAAGGGAAAAAAAAAAAGTCCTGCTTCTCTGCTGCTTGTTCCTACCATCAGCAAGGCTTATGTGACTCCACAGTGAGTTAGATAAGGGAAGCTGATCTGATTAAAAATTAATCCCCCAAAACAAAAAAAAAGAAATATTTGTCATCCAATTCACAGCGCAGCTGCAGAAGTACTAGTGTTGTCACAACTGCAGTGGAAGGCAACAGACGATTGAAGTAATGGGAGAGTGGGACTGTTACCCATTTAAAACTGTTATGAAACTGTCCTGAAATAGTCTTGAGTCTGTTGCCATCAAAAAGATGTATTTCGAAGATTGCTTTGTGTCCTGAAATAGTCCTTGTCTTGGTAGAACTTAAACTGCCAAAGCTAGAAGGAGCCTTAGTAATTACAGGAGAGCTGGGGTCAAAACCCAACTCTTGTTTAGTGGTGCAAAGCTCTTGCTCTAGCTTTGCTTTAATTTGTCTATTTGATGCCACATTTCTGTATGGGTACACACATTGTATTATTTAGGTCCAGCTGTCATGAGACCTCTGCCTTCTCTTAGGGTAAAGTTAATTAGTGTAATTGTCCTAATTTAAAAGCAAAAAAGTATGCTGAAAGAAATGGTGATTGCAGAGAGAGAAATGGTCTGTGCATTTATTCTCATGCTGGTGCTCAGGAGATGGCTTTTAATAATGTGTTGTAGCCAAGAGGTAGTCAGTGTAGCTAGTGAAGTACTCAAGCAGTAGTAACATAGTCATTTAAAATATGTTATAAAGTACTATGGCCGATCCTGTCAGATCTTTAAGAGCATGTTGTCTCAGTCTTATGGTTATTGTGTCAGTTGAGGCTGGAGCTCATAAACTATGATAACTAAAATCGTTCCTTCTTTTGTCTCTGCTTGGTAAGCCAACTTTCTCAATTAAAAAAAAAAATGAGGACTTTTCTGCTGGATTGATACATTCTGTTTAGTTTTGTGGTGATCGTTAAGTGTTGAAGTTGAAGCACTGCATCTGCAGTGATAGGTGACCTAAAGTAACTGTGGATAAACAAATGACTGTAATAAATAGAAGTGCTGCAGTGGTAGAAACTGAAACTCTGAAGTGTGAATGCTTCAGGATATTCATGTTTTTAGTAACTTGTTTCTTCCTGTTAAGTGCACTGATATTTGCTTCGGTCATAATTGCTAATATTTTGTTGCACTGCCAGTAATCATGTTACAATCAAAAACAGGAACCCAGAAATCAAGCTGGGTACAGGTCTCAATAAGAATAATATTTCCTATCTGAAAACTTATAAAACCTAAAAGATATTGGTATAAAAGAGAATTCCCAGCAGATGCCATTCTAGAGACTTCTTCCCCAACATTGGCTATCTTCCTGTGTTGCCTAGCGTTTCACTGCTGTACTGTGAGAACTGAGCATTTGTTGTTCATTTCTGTTGTCGCTGCTTTCTCTGCCAAACCGTAATTGCGTTGTCCATGTGTGGCTCTGCAAAATAAGTTACTAACAAAAGCATGTTGTTATGAGCCCTTTTTCTCTAGACTGACTGTATGTTCTTGATCTAATAGCTTCTGCTGTGAGGCACCTACAGGCTTCTGCTGTAAGGGACCTAATCTGAAGGCTGAGTCCTGCCAAGCCTTAGCATGCTAACTTTCAGTAGATGATATAGTTGTTAGCTATACATACAAACCGCTGACTAGCTTAGGCCTGCGTTAACTGCTGAATTGATTTGTCTAAATTTCAGGGAGAAACTCACCTGATTTTCCCTAAGGAAGCTTCGATTGAACAGCTACGCAAAATCAGAGACTTAATTGCTGGAGAGAGGAGTAGCAGGCTGAATGAGTCAAATCAGACCCACAGTTCAGGGTCCTCTGAAATTGTGGCCAACACTCAGACAGTTGCACATCAACCTTCAAGACCTTCTGACTCTGTTCTTGCCCCTGCCCGTCAGCAACCAGAAACATCACTTGTGAAATCTGTTAAAATGGTAATTATAACCTGAAAACTTTGTAGGTGCACTAATCTTTGCATTCAAGATTGAAGAAGAGTTAACTGTTGGGACAGGTTGCTCAGAGAGGCTATGTAGTCTCCAAATGTGGGCGTTTTCAGGCCTGACTGGATAAAGCCCAGAGCAACTTGGTCTGACCTCATAGATAACCCTGCTGTGAGCAGGAGTTTGGACTAGAGGATTTTTTTATTTTTCCAATGGTTTCTGAAGTTTTTCTAGTGTTTTCTTTTGCCTGCATGCAACTTCACATGAAACATACCATAAATAGCAAGAAATTTTGTTGAAGATGTCCGTAAATGTTTTATTGATCAGTGTCGTGAAAAAAAAAAAAAAAAGCTGATTTATGTTGTAAGGGAACAGAGGGGAGGGGTGGGAAGCTAAGACTAGGGCTGTATACTCTGGTATTTGAGAGCCGTCAAAAGAACAGGAGCACAACTGTAATGTTTATAATTGTTGGCACCTCAGTTCATGCATTCTGACCTCTATGTGACGACTGTGAGTAGAGCTTTCTTTTTTCACATGTGTCTGTTGTGAGAGACAGGAATTTAGCCAGGCAAGGACAAATCTATAGTTATTTAGGCTGTGTTTCTTCTGTCCAAAAGGTTGAGATTAAGTTCCCTATCAAGACAGAGAGGCAGAGTCCTTTCATCTGATGTTACCAGGTCTGATGGGAGAAGACCCATAACAACTCATACAACTTTGAAAAATGAAGTTATATGCCTTCTGATAGAAGGTTTGAAGGATGCTTTGGTTTAACTTTGTAAAGAGTTTTTCCCTCTAGAACCAGTGTCACTTTGGTCTTAAAGTTGGTGTAAGATGAATCCTTCCAAAAGCTCACTTCTCATACATCCTTAAAACAGAGTTTGTATCTTTCAAATAATATTATCAGTACACTGTTGGATACTGAACTGTGACACACTGTTTTTTATCAATACCTATCCAAGATCAGTGGAAGAGAAATGGCAAAGCATAGATTGAAGTGATGGCTTTTGGAGACAGAGAGAGAGCACTCAGTGACCCATCATTACCCATAATGTCCTTTGGGAAAGGAACTGTTGTAGGCATTTCAGTATTGAGGCATTTAATCTAATTATGTTAGAGTGCTGGTTGTTGCCTCTAAAATATGCTGTCTAGGTTTATTTGAATTTGTTTGGGTTTTGAGGTTTCTTAATTTTTTTCTGGTCTACTGCTTGTTTTTTACTGTTTCAGCCACTTCTGCAATGGTGGTTGGAAGTGATTATGAAACCTCTAGAATGACTTGCTGCAGTACTGGTTAGTACTGGAAGCTTTAAAAATTGCGTTGATCTTGTAATGAGAAAAATACTGCATGTTTCAAGTTGACACGATGTATTTTGAGGCTAATCCTTCTCATTTGTAGTTATTCTGCCCTGATTTATGTCTAGCCATCAGAGTTGTGGATCCATTTCTGTGCAGCTATTATTTTTCCATGCTTCTTGAGATTCAACATGGGTGGTGGGACCAAGCTTATTTCAATTTAGAGACATTGCTAGTGCAATGTTGGCACTCTATTAGAATGCTGTATTTCAGCTGATCTCTTCAGGGAATTATACTGATAGCTCTCTGAGCCATTGAATTTGGTCTGTGTAGTCTGGGTTGATTGCAAGGAAGTCCATAAAATAGCTTCTGGCTATGACTTGGCCATTTTTCTTGCACAGCAGTAGGTGTGGGGTATACTGCAGAAGTATAGTTGTATTATTGTTGTATGCACTGCTTTCAGATGCCAGAGAGATTTAGAGTGGTTTTTGTAGTGCAAGCATGTTTGTTTCTTGCCTGTGCATTAAATCAGTGATTCACAGAAGTCCTGGTAAGCACAGGAAAAAGTTGCTTACTTGCAACAGCACAGGAATATTCCTAAATGGCACAATTTTGTGGACCTAACCCATCATTATTTTGCCTCATCTGTCTCTCTTCTGTGTTTCTTTCATAAGGTGTTCTTGAGACTTGGAGAAAGGAAAGCTCTGGCTAGCCATTATTCTGGTGGATGGATTCTGATCCCTTCCTGGATGACATAGTGATTATAGGAGGAAAGAGGCATCGAATCATAGATTGGCAGTGAGGTTCACCACACTTCTAGATGCTTGCATAAGACTTAATTGGTATACAGTGGCTTTCATGAAACCAGTTAAGCACTACTGTAACACTGATGGTGTATGCCAGTGGGAAAATCTGAATGTCAAACAACCCAGGAGGCTTTCTGCCATGCTGGGCAATATCTCTGAACACTCTTTCAGGAAGCTGATAGAACATGAAGATCTATAAGCCACTGGCAGTCCGTAACTTCCCTTATTTCTGTTCTTTCAACTCGCATTCAAGTGAATCTGAACACGATTGGGTTTATGATGTTAAACCAGTTACCTACAGCTGATGAGCTCCAGGAAGAGCGAAACCAGTTCTGTTTCAGCAGTTATGAAAAGTAAGAACTGGTCCTGTAGTACTGTCGAGCATCAAAATAATAATTCCTAATCTGAATGCTCCTTTGAAAGAAGTTATCTTCTCACACCTGTGTATTTTGTTGCATTTGCTGCTAGCATCTCAGG